TCAAGTGATTCTGCAGAAGGTAATTTAACGGTATTATGATGTGACGATATTTAGTCGGGGCCTTCGTAATAAGCCTGTTTCTCGAAAATTTATCGAAAATTTTTCTGATGAAAGTTGTGATGAAGGTTACTTGCATGATCAAGATTTTAAAAATGACTTTTGAACCACCGTTTGTGAACTTAAAAGGTACCTGAAAGCCCTAAGAAGGCAATGGTATTTAAGAACCCCAAATACATAAAAATCTCGCGCATATTTTGCTTATGTCTCAATTTTACAGCATTTCCTTGTGAGCTTCACGGTATTTGCGTTCCATCATATGAAGACTGTCCTGTTTGGACACATGAATGTCCACTAGGTGTTTGCCCACACCCACCATGGCGTTGCTGTTGGTAAGTATTAATTTTTTATGTATTACTGAACATTTTTTACACTTCATGACGTCCTTTTCCGGAGAGAAATTAAACCTGACAATTTTATCGTAACATGGAGAACGATAACTGAAAGAACAAAGTAAAAATCAATATATGCACTTATCCGCAATATGGCGGCAAATGATCCTTGTTTGATTTACCGCACCCGCACCAATTCTTAAATTTCTGGAGAATAAAAGCTTGAAGATTTATTTTATTAGTTCTTTATCCACAATATTTTAACGCAAACCTTTAATCTTCTTTTTAGCAACACCTTCCCACCTGGGAAATAAAAGTGGAATGGTCTATAATTAAGCATTTATAAAATGTAACCTGATCAATTTACTTTGATTAATAATAAAGGCGTAGACAAAAAATTCCAGTGTGTAATTGGATTTATTGTATCATAATTGTATCTAAAACATGCATTGGTTTTTCATGGAAAAAATTGTGATGAATAACAATACTACTCGAAAATGTTCCACACGGATCGCACTATCAAACAGACACTTTCAAATATGTAGATTTCGGCCGTGTATACATACATATTCTCGTTCAGAAAACATTTCCAATGATATTCCCACATGCATGCATGCTTATTAATTTTTATATATAGCCTTACATCCACACAGAAATGATAATGTGTGAGCGCGTTCATAAACACTTGAGCGCATCTGCACGTCTTTATATTTATCCTATTCTCAGAGACTCAGACAAAGACAAAGTTCGTCATAAGAAATCATTTTTATACATGCATATAACTGCACGGATTTATAATTTTCCAATTTTTGAAATAAGTATTCCGTCTATATTCTCGTGCAGTGAGCAGCATCTCTATGCAACCATATAATTAACATTTGTTTAGAGCGATAAGTGAAAGTAGATAAGAACTCGATATACTTGCAAACATTTCCCATGCTAATCAGTAAAAATTAATACAGTTTATCAGTAAAGTCGGCCACATTTTGGTCGCGTCGAATGGAATTCAAACAAAATATATATTCAGATGATAATGATTAATAAAGCTTAATGTGGTTAATCACCTAATTATCATTTCTTTGAATTGCATTCGCTGCGAAAAAAATGCGACTTATGCGAGACAGAACTGAAGGTATTAGTACTAAATTTTCATAACATGTATTCCTGAAAGGTGACGCGATTATACAATATGCGACATTTCTAGACTGTCAAGTTTCAACTTTCAACTCTTGACAATCCATGTTTTTGGATATCAGTAAACTATTTAGGAAAGAAAGTAAAGAAGAAATACTAACTGTCTATTACCAGGATTTTACTAAATACTTATACTAACTGTCTATTACCAGGATTTTACTAAATACTTTTAAATCTATGATCGGCATGTTTTATTATGACATGCAGACTCGCAGGATCTGATATTACTCAGGCAAGTTTGTTAATATGCTATCGGAAAAAACGTTACTGATCGATATTGTCAATTGACAGCCGAGACACTCGTATCCGACAGAGTGATGTAAATATTCATATGAAAATAGATAGTTCCCAGTTTCTTAGCTACTTGGTGATATGATATAGTCGTCTAAAAATTAAATTTTCCCCTATTCCCCTAATTAAATTTCAACTATTCCATGTACTGTAAATATTCCACTATTTCAATTTGAAATTATTGCAAAGAACTGCAGCGGTTCCTGCATTCAACTTAAACCATATCCTACCTATTTCGCAGGTTATAATTTATATCCTTTTTGGTTCCAATTTAAGGCAACATGCACGTTTTATTAATCTCATATATATTTTAAACCGTATATGTTTCCATGAAAATGCCTTTTCATTCATAGTAAACGCACTGACTGCTCACCTAACAAAAGGGGAATCTTGACCATCATTATCTACTCCCAATTATCGCGTTATATATATAGGGTGTCCCAAAAAAACCCTAAACTATTGAAGTCACCCATTGTCAAAATTTGAATGACCTGTTCGCAAATTTTTGCCTGTGGGGATTAACGAAAAATATAAAATGCTAAATAGGCCTATATACATTTGCCAGAAAATTCAGGACATGTCGAAGGTCATAAGGTGCCTAAGTTGTAATTTTAAATATTGTTATCTAGACGAAACAAACAGAACTCTCACGGCGCAAACAAAAGTCGCTCGGTTATCTATGTTCGTAAGCGAAAAAAGCGTATTGGTAATAAAGTCATTTGCGGGTATACAAACAAATTTTACTGCCAAACGTTTATTTATATTTTACTGGGTCCCAACAGGGTGCTTAGGCATTCAAATTCTAGCTATTACATTGTTATGGGTGATGTAATGTTGCCTGAACAAGCCGAGCAACATACAGCTCCCTCATCAATCAATTTCTGTCGCGATTCAGCCGATGCCTGAATTTCAACCCGAAGTTCGTGCATGTCGGTGCAAGCATAGCAACAAGATAGGACAAATGGCTCTCAGACTTGTATATTCTGCACTTCGGGAATTACAGACCCAAAGCGGAAACGAGCACTATTATACCCGTGTAGAGACAGTAGAGTGCGAGAAATTTTTCAATCTTTGTCAGACATTGCATGGCAACGAACTAAAATAGTATAACCATGCAAACAACGGCTAAAATAGTGTTTTGACTCTCAGAAAAACCGGCGGTATGACCGTATGAAGTCTATTGTTTTCGGTAAATTGTGCTGCAGCCACTATGAGACTTTGGATGCGTTCAATAAGGGACTATTCGCCAACGAGCTGAGAAATGCGAATTCAATGACATGAATTGAAATTGAACAACAGATTATTATCGGCGGGACATCTTCTAAACTCCGAAAGTGAGCACTACGAGATCCTCAAGTAAAGATATTGAATCGAAAGACGTAACGTTTACGTCGTCGTAAAGAAAGCAGAAACGAATAGAATTGCTGCAGAAAGGGGCGAAAGTCCAGCAACAAACATGTCCGAACTGTGCACGTAATTACCCCCACGAAGGTCGTTGCCCAGGAACTGGAAAGTCATGCAATAAATGTGGAAAAACCAACCATTTTGCAAAGGTATGTCGAAGTAGTAAAAAGAAACCTACACGTAAGCTAAGAACCCCAAACACGGATCAAAAAACCCAAACACGGATCAATAAAACCCGTTCAACCGGGAAAATATCATCACTCAGAATCAGATTCGGATGAGTCATACCTGTATGCAGTAAAAAATGACGTGAAGAATACCAGCCCAAACAATGCCAATGTTAAAGTAACAGTAAATGGAGTATCGCTTAAAACCATGATAGATACTAAAAACGTTACTCACAACTGACCGAAAAAGAGGCCCTGGCCATAGTTTGGTCAGTGGAACATTACCATTTGCTCCTATATGGTCGTGAATTTACCCTGATTACCGACCGAAAGCCCCTAGAGAATGGTTTTGGTTTTTATTGGGACACCCAGTATTTTTGATCTGGTAGAGAAATGTTTTCATAAAATATCATGTATATTATCATGAATATATATAACGTGCATGTGTTCGTGCATGTGTACTGCTAAACACGGTAATATAATTCGCTTATATGGAAATCAAACTTGGAGCACTACATCGTTGTTGTTTTAACAATTATTTAATGGCTTCCTGTATTTGGATGGCCTGGTCCAAACACTTAGGAGTGCTTTCTTATTTCTTAAAGCCCCGTGCAGACGGGCAAGTTTTCCCTGACAAGTTTTCCTTGCCAAATTTTATTTGCTCGCGTGTACGCGAAAAAATTGGCAAGTTTTCCTTGGCAAGGAGCCTTGTTCAAATGCTAGTCACGCCAGCTTTTCAAGTAGGATACTGCGCAAAAATGGCTTTAAGCCATGCAATTTCGATCGTGTACTCATTTTATCATATTGTCGCCGTGAAAAGGTCAAGAAAACTTGTCAAGGAAAACTTGCCCGTCTGTACGGGGCTTAAATCTCACAAAATTCCTGCGTGTTCGGATCAGGCCGTTTTCATATAACATAATTTTTCGTTACTTAATTCAAGCTGGGCGTTTGTTTACATTGTTAAATGTTTATATCCTTTACAGAGAAAGCTCATACTGTAGCTTTCGCTGTTTATTTTTTCAAACTTTGTTATTAATTTTGTTCATGCATCATATAGTCCTCGCAGTATGATAATCAATATCACATGCGATGAAATATACAAAATATTATAATTTTGGCGCGGCACTGTTATCTTATATAGTGCTCACATTGACACTTGCTCAGTTAAATATGTCCTATAATATAATCCTCAAAGATTTTTTTTTACCACAGTAAACCGATTTACCTCCGAAAAATAATAATACTTGGATTCAAAAACAATGCATTTATACTTACAATTCAACGCCTTTTCCAAGTTCGCTAAGTTATGCCCTAGCTGCATGCTTATTAAAAAGTTATAAACTATATATTATATACAGATTATAATGTCAGCTGTATAGGAAACTAAGCATTTAAATTCGTTATAAATTTTCATTTTGTGTTTTGTTTAATAAAAATCCTATCAATAATATATTAAGACGACACGCATCTTTTCACCTGCTTTGTAAATTATACTTTGTTTCAGCAAACAAATGGTAAAAGAAGTGAAGTTGGCGACCCCATTCATATAATAATCATGTTTAAGACTATAACTTTAATCTTACTTGTCTTTAAAATTGCGTGTATCATTTCACAGAACTGCTCTCTCAAGATTTATGATACTATTGAAAAAGGTGAGTATTTTATGTTTGCATTTTATGTTTGTATTTTAAACCAGTCTTGTTTCTATTGTTTGAGAACAAATTCCTTGAGCATTTCCAAACCTATTAATTTTGCCACTTTTAGGAGGGTCGTCTTTACCTCCAGATGAAATCATAGCAAATCATACCGTCAACTCAAGATTTATCTCGATAGAATGTCTCGAGCTTTGCCAAAAGGAACCGAAATGTGTCGGATTCAACTACAGAGCTGACAAGATGAATGTTGTGAACTGTCAACTGACGAACGTCACAGGAAAAAGAAATCACACCGTAATGACTGGTGCAGGAGAATGGATACTAATGAACGATAAAGAAGCAGCAGTATTTATTATAATTTTATTTCTGAAAATTACTGTAAATGGCTCGTATTGAAACATTAACTTCTTATCTCTAAAATTATTCTGTTAAATATATCAGGCAAACAATGAGAAAGAAAAGAGGAGACGGGAAACTTTGAATTCAGGTATTAATGCCAAAAATTCAAGATATGAAAGTAAATAGACTTGATTTCGCACATGATTATTGTATAAATATCTTTCGACTTGTAAAGTAAATACCTCATTATAAAATATGAACGTGCAAAGATGCATACGATTAAAACAATTGCTACAGCCTTTTGAACTATCATGTTTCTTGTACGCATAGTAACAACAAAAATGTCTGGAATGAGTCAGCCAAATGCTAAAAATCGCCAAGCCTTAAAACACCTCTATCATTTAAACTAAATGTTTTAAAAGGTATAATTCCTAAAGGCCCGTTTACATTTGCGATTTTAGCTGCGATTTAATGTGCGGTTTTCTTCTTTTGATAGATGTGAACGAGTGAATTAGTTACGGATGATCAAATAAGAGGTCTTATACAACACAGCATTCGTAACTAGTTACTCGCTCACATATACCAAAAGAAGAAAATGGCACATAAAATTGCAAGTGTAAACGGACCTTAAGAGGAGAAGCAATATTTTAACTTCTAATATCTTAATTTTCTTTGATATTTTGCAAATTTGTAGCTACCAGCTGCGCTCATCTTTATAACCAAGGGATTAGACAAGATGGAGTTTATACTATCAATCCGGGTGGTCTCGGTTCGTTTCAAGTCAGATGTGATATGAGCACAGACGGGGGTGGCTGGACCGTGTTCCAAAAAAGACAAGATGGAAGTCAAGATTTCTACCTTGGATGGTCAGAATATAAAGCAGGCTTTGGTGATCTTAACGGCGAGTTCTGGTTGGGCCTTGATAAAATACATCGTTTGTCCAAATCTGGCCAAAATGTTCTAAGAATTGATTTGACGAATTTCAATGGCGCTAAACGTTACGCTAAATATGGAAAGTTTAGTGTGGCTGATGAATCAGACAAATACAGATTAACTATTGGCAATTATTCAGGTAAATCATGTTGTCTACCCATACTTAGTGTAAATTTCGAGGTGACTATTGATTTTCCTGCATTCTGATTGGTCAAGATTCACTCTCTATGAAGTGATAGTCATCGGTCGGTTACCAAAGCTTTTTGTTGGTGTATTTCAACTACGAAATTTGAAGAAATTAAAATTTTTATGAAATTACGTTGATTATTATTTGTAAACGCCTCAAAATTTAGGCTTGTAATCACCTCGCCTCCGGCGACTAATTGTTAAATAGAAATACCCTTGTCGACCAATCAGCACGCGCGTGCTATAACTATATAAACATACAAAAACAGCTCAGTTTTGGCTAAAGGTGTTGTAAATTCTTATCGCATATGACGTCATACCGTGTATCTATAACTGAACAGACAACGGTTCATTGTAATCTATTTGTTAAGTAACTTATGTGTTCAACTTATCATATATCATAATATTTTTTTTACTAAATTTTTTACTATATCATTAACTTTTTTATCATTAACATTTATCATGATATTTTTAACAATTAGTAGCTTTTACTAATAACTCCAACAACCCTAAATATTAATCAATTATTTGACAAGGTCATTGCCGAAGGTAGAGGGAAAGAATTGATCTGCGAGCCACCAACAAATCACGATATTTTGCGAGGACCGAGTTCAATAATTCTTTTATCATTCAGTTATGTTATTATTCTTTGGTATTTTCCGCGTTTTTTTCTACGAGTAAGCAATACAACTCATTTTCCGAAAGTTCAGCAAAGCGAGTCGCCATTATTCTTTACAAAATTGACATCAATGCTCATGCTCAGAGTATTATTTGCAGCTGAGCAACTTTTTTAACAAATGTGCATGCTCAGAGTATTATTCCATTTTGCAGGCAGTTAACTGCATGTAAATTAGCCAGTCAAAATTGAGAATACGATAAAGTGAATGATAATATCATTTTTAGACCATCTACTCGGAGATTCGGCGAAATAGATCTCGAAGGTCATGATGATATTTTTATATCATTGCAGAAAGAAATATTTCAGTGTTCTCCATTGAACGTTATTTTATCCAATGCTTGCGTATAAATTATAAAAAACAGTTTGTACAAAGGTCAGGGGGAAAGTTTTTGGAAAGCATTTAAACATATTGCTTTTTGTTTATTCTTAAAAGGTGACGCAAGTGATTCTCTGGCTTATCACAATCAAATGCAGTTCTCGACCAAGGATAGTGACAATGATGCTAATAGTGGTAATTGTGCAACGCGGTTTCAAGGAGCTTGGTGGTACAAAAACTGTTATCATTCTAACCTCAATGGCCAGTACCTGGCTGCAGGTCAAGCTGGTGCCAGCGGAATAAAGTGGAATAACGGTATGAATTCAAGGAAAAAGACGGAGATGAAAATTCGCCCAAATCAGTTTTGAGATATTCCTGAATCACCATCAATAAAAAACACACATTCATTTTCTGTTTTCGAGCACATATTTTAAATTAATTATTATGGTATTGAAATAACAGAATAATAATAAAGTTCACGTTTAAAGTAAATTTACAGAAGTAAATTTAAAGAAGAGCAAAAACAATCTGTGGCAATCGCAATAGAACTTATTAAAAATGTTCAGCAGTCGACGGCGGGTTACCGACTTACCGCCCCTTCATATCCAGCAGAAAACTAAACATTCAAATTCGTTTTAAATATTAAATTTAAGTAGTTTAATAAAAATGCTATCAATTAATCAATATCAAGTGTGCGCGTCCTTTCGCTTGTAAACATAAAAGTATTATAATACCTTTTTCATCTATTGCGAGTTGGATAGAGCGAAGTTGGCGATCTCGTTCCGGCATGTAATCATGTTTCAGATTATAACTTTAATCTTACTTGTCGTTAAAACTGTATGTAACATTACACAGAACTGTTCTCTCTGGGTTTATAAACTATTGAAAAAAGTGGGTCTTTAAGCTTGTTTTTCAAATGATGTTTCGTCTTATTTTAAACCAGTCTTGTTTCTATTATTTAAGAACAAATTTCTTGAACATTTCCAAACATATTGGCCACTTTTAGGAGGTTCGTCTTTACCTCCAGATGAAATCATATTAAATCATACCGTCAAATCACGGCTTGTCCCCATAGAATGCCTCGAGCTCTGCCAAAAGGAACTGGAATGTATCGGATATTGAACTACAAAGACAAGATAAATACTTCAATAATTTTTTTATTACTAACGTCACTTGAAAGAGAAATCACAACGAAATGACTGGAGAAGGAGAATGGATGAGACTGGAGAATTCAGGTATTGATACCATGGATGAATGCAGGTATTAATACTGTGAATGCAGTTATTGATACTATGAATGCTGGTATTGCCGCAAGATCATAAATATAAATGCAAATAGACGTGACTACGCACATGCATTATCATATAAATATCTTTCTCTTATATGCCTCATTATAAAATATGAAGATGTAATGATGCATACAATTGGAACATGTGCTGCAGTCTTTTGAAAGATCATGTTCCTAGTAGACAAAGTATCCAAAATGAGTTCAAAATTGCCAAGTCTGAAAATAGCTCTGTCGTTTTGACCAAATGGGGAATAACTATACAAAGTAGTATCTTGAAAGACCTCTCTTGTTGATATAACATGCATATTCTGTAGATAAATGATAAAATTAATGAGTTATAATAGAAAGCTTGAGGGAAAATTGTTATTCTTCAATACATCTTTCCTTTAATATTTTGCAATTTTGAGCAGTAAGACAAGATGGTGTGTATATTATCAATCCCAGTGGCGTAGCCAGTCTGACGATTTAGTCATACTTTGTAAATTTTTATGTTATTATCATTATTCATTTCTTTAAAAATTCCTTGTTTTCACTGTCAATGAACACTTTAGTCATGGTATGCGGTATATGTAATCAGATGCATATCTATTTCGTAGTCATTTATTTTAGAGGAGCTTTTTATTTGTAATTATGTTTGATTTCTTATTGTGATCTTTGATCGTTATATTTTCTCAAATATTACAGACAAATAACGCTCAACGTCCAATATTAGGGGTTTTCGTCAGATGAGTATATAAGATTGTCTTCTTTACGCAGCACGTATGCAGTTGTTACGCCACATTTACTAATGAGAATTCGATCGAACACATTGCCACACTGTTGCCAATCAATTTTAAAACTAAATTAAAATCTTCATTATAGAAGAAAAGCTATCATTTTGGAACGAAATGAAGATAAACAATATCTTGCTGTTAAAATTCATGACGATTCTTTTCGCAGCGTATATAATCAAATACAAAGCTTTCGCTATATTTTTTCCTACTTTATTATGTAATTTTGTTTAAGCGTATGACTGATAATCATTAACACAGTGTGACATATCAAATATAAAAATTTATGCCTAGCGGCGCTCTAACTATAATAGTGTTAATGTTGACATTTCATTGATATACCAGTTTAATAATTTTTGTACACCAATATATTCGCCATGCAAAGCCAAAGGTCATTTGTTGAAGATCGATTTGCCTTTCACTGAAAAAGGTTAATGTTTCGGTTTCAAAAACATTGTATAAATCTTAATTAGTTCTTTGTTAGATTTGCTAAGTTAAGGCCCAGTGTGAATCATAAAGTCTGCTGAATTGACACATTCATTTACCACGCATCCCTTGATCGCCTGTCTAAAATGATTAATTTTCATTATGATATAAATTTTCATTGTGTAAAATGTTTAATAAAATTCCTATCAATAATATATAAGACGGCAGACACGTTTTACGTTTCTTTTCACCTGCTTTGTGAAGAATGCTTTATTTCAGCTACCGCATGTTGAAGAGAGCAAAGTTAACACAATCTTACTCAAGTAATCATGTTTAGGATAGCAACATCGATCATATTTATGGTTAAAATCGCATGTTCCATTTCACAAAACTGTTCTACGACTACAAGGGTTTATATTACTATTAAAAAAGGTAAATCGTCTACGCTTTCATGTATTTCAATAAGAAATGTAATGCTTCTAATGCTTGAGAACAATTTCCTTGAACATTTCCGAACCACATTGGCTACTTTCAGGAGGTTTGACTTTACCTCCAGATGAAATCATATCAAGTCATACCATCAACTCAGGGATTGTCCCGATAGAATGTTACGAACACTGTCAGAAAGAACCGGCATGTGTTGGGTTCAACTACAGAGAAAAGATCAACATTGTGAACTGCCAACTGACCAACATCACAGGAAAGACAGATCACGTCATAATGGACGGAGATGGAGAATGGATACTAATGAACGACGAAAAAGCAGTATGTGTTTCAATTTTATTTCAGATCTGCAAAACCACAACGCTTGTGTGAAAACAGTATATAGGAATTAATGAAGTAAAAAAGTTAAACCGCTTTAAAAACATGGGCAGCAAAAGAATGCCTAAGGCTATGAATTTGTAGGAAACCACACGAGTTCTCGTCATGTGCGCTCCAGCGTTTTTTGTGCAATCATTTCTAAAATCAATCTCTTCCAGGCAAAGATTGAGGAAGAAAAGAAAAAAAGTGACACTTTGAATTTAGGTATTACTAAAAGATTATAGCTATAATTATAAATAATGGATTTAATGGCGCACATGCATGCATTATTATAAAAAACCTATCGCCTCAGAAACTAAATACCTTATAATATAAAAAGTACATGCAACTGGAACAGGCGCGATGTGGCTTTTTGAAAGATTGTGGATTTAAGATTATTAGCCAAAGTATCTAAACTAAGCTCGAACTTGACAAACCTGAAATTAATTCAATCTTTACGACTTTGGAAAAATTTCATTTGCTATATGAGTAACCTAAAGTGTTACCTTAATTGTTTATTTGATTGCTGATCTGTTTAAGTACGTTTGAGAATAATAAAATAAATAAATGAGATGATTGTGAGATTGTGAATAAATGTGCCTCCTCAATATTTTCACAATTTAATAGCTAGCAGTTGTGCCCATCTGTATCACCAAGGAATAAGACAAGATGGTGTTTATACTATCAATCCTGATGGTCTGGGTTCGTTTGAAGTCAGATGTGATATGAATATAAGCAAAGCCGGAGGTGGCTGGACCGTGTTTCAAAGAAGACAAGGTGGAAGTCAAGATTTCTATCGTGGATGGTCGGACTATAAAGCTGGGTTTGGTGATCTTAACGGCGAGTTCTGGTTGGGCCTGGATAAAATACATCGTTTGTCCAAATCTGGTCAAAATGTTCTAAGAGTTGATTTGATGGATTTCAATGGCGCTGAACGTCATGCTAAATATGGAACGTTTAGTGTGGCTGATGAATCAGACAAATACAGATTAAATATTGGAAATTATTCAGGTAAACCAAATATCCAATAGATAGAATATGTAAAGCTTATCCGTTTTTTTATTCATTTTGTATAACGTCAAGCTTGTCCGTATTCATATACATAAGATGCCAGGGGTGGTCCAGCACTAGTGCATTAATTTGCTTTACACAAGAAATCTGCTAAAACTAACCACTTTGTTTTGCATTGCTAATTAGTGCACCATAGCACTAAATAGCACTTACTACCCATGTAAGATGCAGTATGCAGAAGAAGTGTAATTAATTTTTTTTCTACGGCAAAGACCTCGTATTTTCTGGAAAGTTTATTAAAATCATAAATAGAAACAGAAAAAATGAACACAGTATTTTGTCTATTTCCTTAAAAGGTGACGCGGGTAATTCCCTCGGTTCTCACAATCAAATGCAGTTCACTTCCAAGGATAGCGACAATGATGAAAGTATTCGCAATTGTGCTATTACGTGGCGAGGAGCTTGGTGGTACAAAAAATGCCATTCATCCAACCTCAACGGCCTGTACCTTGGTGCAGGTCAAATTAATGCCACCGGAATAAGCTGGTACCATTGGAAAAAGTCCCATTATTCAATGAAAAAGACGGAGATGAAAATCCGTCCATATCAGTTTTGAGATATTCCTGTACAACCTTCAAAAAACGATCATGCGCTTGCTGTTTTCATGAATGCGATCATAATATAATAGTGTAACTGAATATAATAATATTAAACAATTATTCTAGCCTCTTGGAGACTGAGCATGATATTCAACAATTATTCGCCGAAGGCGAGGTGATTATCGGAGAATATTTTCCGATAATCACCGAGTCTAAGGCAAATAATTGTCTTAGTATTTTTTCACAAGTTAATTGACACAAGAACTGCATTTGTTTGCTTATCTCTTTGTAAGAAACGTCTACAAAACGGCTAGTCGCCATTTTATAATACGTCAAATTTGACCAGTCAGAATGTAAAATTTGTTATGTTCACTTGTGCAAAAATACTAACAAGAATTGTTCAGACAGAAGTTTTCGCAAAAGTATATATAAAATATATATATATATATATATATATATATATATATATATATATATATATATATATATATATATATATATATATATATATATATATATATATATATATATATAAATACTGTAAAAATACTGGAGCAAGGCGTAAAATAAATTACAGACGATTTTAGCATTACTTCGACTTCTTTGTGTTTCCTACGTGTCTCTCGTCGAGAACATGGTTCATTATCGCGTCAGAATCACGGTGATTTCTTGATTTAACTCAATATCCATCAGTGAATATAAACGATATTTACCGATGAATTGCCCTCTGGATCTTTATTACCTCCATTTTCTGAATAAGAGCTTTGACCAAGTGTCTAAGTCTGTCTCAAAAATATTTAGTTTTTCACCTAATATACAGCACAAAATTTCGGTGTCCGATAAATTTGCTAACTGCACGTTCATAGTTGTTGTAAGACTATCATTAATCCATTCCCAAAGTTTCTTTCTTTCGTCGATCGATCCCTGGCAATACAACAAAGAGTGATGTATTGGCTTCTCAGAACATCGTTGGCATCGAGGACAATAGCTTGAATGATCATCGGGGTTTCGATCTCGTTTTCCTTGTATTTTTAATGATCCACATAAGATTCTGACCACATCTGTTATCTTGGGTAGGTACTCAAGATTGTGTTTTGCCAAGATCCACCAATGAGATTGTAGATTGTGTGGATGAACTCTCTTATCGATACTTAGTTGTCTCTTCCTTCTAATTTTGTCCCTCCATGTAACCTGATAATAAACCCAGATACTTGAATTAACAATTCTTTTCCAATCCTGTTTTGTGGGAAACTCGTGTGTACTAATATATTTCAAAAAGTATTCCATCAGACCATACTTTTAAAGAACCTTGATCAAGTTTGGGATAAATTTTCTTAATTTCTTAATTATCACAATCAAGTGCAGTTCACTACCAAGGATAGCGACAATGATGTTCTAGATAGTGTGATTTGTGCTGTGAAGTACAAAGGAGCTTGGTGGTACAACAACTGCCATCATTCCAACCTCAAGTAGACTAGTAGCAGCAAAATAAATTGGTACCTTTGGAGAATGTCGTATACAATTCAGTGAAAAAGACAGAGATGAAAATTCATCCAAATCTGTTTTAAGATATTTCTACATGTACAACTGTTACTAAATTCTCCTTCTTCGACGCGAGAGTAGGTATTCTGTATAATAAAGAGTAATTTACCCATTTATGTTAAAAAACCATCACCTGAGTCTCACTTGTTTGTCAGAATATTTACAAATTTTTGTCAAAATCATTACAGAAGGTGAACTATTTCGCCCAATCACCTGAGCGCGCAGTGGGTCGATAATGTCGAACCTTGATTATTGATTGTCACTAGATGTTTCCTGATGTTTCCTACTATATTGTGTAATACGGCCAATCCGCGTGTAGTCCTCGCAAAATCTCGCGTGAGATTTAATTAATATCAATTGCAGGATTTATAATAATATTATGAAAAAATTTTTTGACTAACGTTTGATTGCTCTCTATATCTCCACGCATTAAAGCAAAACAGTCTTAGGCCCTGTTTATATGAGCCGGGCTGGCTCGCTTTGCCGGGCTAGTTTATTTTCTTATTCACATGAGGCGGGCTAGCCCGGTAGCGTTACATAATTTGTTGACGCTTCACAAATCGAAAAATGTTGCTTGCATCGATTAGAGCGGTTTTGGGCAGATATATTTCGTTAATTTTTGAAATGTATTGTGTTCTTTTGGTTTGTAAATAAATGGCGAAATTATGCTATGAAGGTATATTTGTAGAGAAAGGGATCGACGATTTTCTGCCCGGTTTACCGGGCTAGCCCGCCTAGTGCGTTCATATGAGCCCGTTTTGCCGAGATCTCGCCTCGCTCAAGCGAGATCTCGCCGAAGCGGGCTGGCCCGCTTTCCATGTGAATCAAATTTCAAAAACATATAGAAACAACTTAGGAAGCGGGATCTCGCCTCTAGCCAGTCAGCCCGGCAAAGCGGGCCAGCCCGGCTCATATGAACAGCGCCTTAGGAAGTGGGATCTCGCCTCTAGCGAGTCAGCCCGGCAAAGCGGGCCAGCCCGGCTCATATGAACAGGGCCATCAGGGAAAAAAGTTGACACAAAACAATTATATTCATTATATATAAATTACAAAGAAATTCAGTGTAAATTGTTTAATAAACATTACATGAATAACATATAAGACGGCATGAATTCTATATATACATATACCTTTATTTTGACCTGCTTTGCCGATAATACGTTATTTTAGCGACCTAATGTTGCAGAAGTTGGAGAACTTATGTTTACGATAAAAACTTTATTCTTACTTATGGTCAAAATTTCATGTATCATTTCACGGAACTGTTCGACCAAGGTTTATAACATCATTAGAACCGAATTATTATATCATATAGATTGCACTTTTTCGCTTCGTATTGGCTAGTGCTCTTAGGAGACTCGACTTTACGCTATCTTATAGAAGCTTATAGCTTTCGCTATATTTTTTCTACTTTATTTTTTAATTTTATTCATGCGTGTATACTCCTTGCAGTACGATAATCAATATCACAGTGTGATATACTGAATAATATTATAATGATTTTTGGGCAGCGCTCTAATTTGTATAGTGCCATTAGTGACCATTGCTCAGTTTAATATATTTTTTATTAGTGACCATTGCTCAGTTTAATATACTTTGCCCACTTTTATAGTCCTGATAGTTCTTATTTCTTTGATCTAGCTACATGAAAGGTTCGAAAATAGCTAGTTTTAATGATTTGTATAACAGTCCATAACTTATATAGCGCTTTTAAGCGCTATATAAGTTATGGACTGTTATACAAATCATTACTTCTGCTGTATTCAAACACTCAGTTACCATGCCATTAATATCCTCCGGGTAAACAAATAATTATGAAACTAAATTTGTTATAAATTTTCATTGTGATAAATTTTTAATAAAAGTTCTGTCAAAAATGTATAAGATGACGCAAAGTGTTCGCACGACTTTTCACCTGCTTTGTAAATTATATATACGTTATTTAAGCCATCGCATGTTGGAAAAAGCAGCGTTAGCGACCTCGTTCACGTCATGATGTTTAAGATTATAACTTTGATCTTAATTATCGCTAAAATGACATGTATCATTTCACAAAACTGCTCTCAAAGAGTTTATAATGTTATTAAAAAAGGTGAGTCTATTCTATCCTTGCCAGATCTTAAACCATGCAGTTATTTCTTCAATTTAATGTTTCAGACCAATTTCTATCAACATTTCCCAAAATATTTGCCACTTTTAGGAGGGTTGACTTTACGTCCAGACAAAATCATATCAAATCATACCGTCAACTCAGAGTTTGTCAAGATAGAATGTCTCGAGCTCTGCCAAAAGGAACCGAAATGTTTTAGATTCAACTACAGAGACAAGATGAATGTTGTGAACTGCCAATTGGCCAACCTCACTGGCAAGACAGATCACACCGCAATGAAGGGAGAAGGAGAATGGATATTAATGAGCGATGATAAAGCAGGTATTGCCGCAAGATCATATATATCAGCTATAAATGTGAATATGCTTTATTGCATGCGCACATGCATGCATTATCATATATAAATAAATATCGCTTTATCAACTAAATAACTCTTTACAAATAAGAACATGGAATGATGCACACGATGTGAAAATGTGATGTAACCTTTTTAAAGATCATGTTAATTCCTATTCTGCAATATTTTTGATATTTCTTTCACATTTCGCAATTGCATAGCTACCAGCTGCGCCCATCTGTATAACCGAGGAATAAGACAAGATGGTGTTTACACTATCAATCCTGATGGTCTGGAATCGTTTCAAGTCAAATGTGATATGAGCACAGACAAGGGAGGCTGGACCGCGTTTCAAAGAAGACAAGATGGAAGTCAAGATTTCTATCGTGGATGGTCGGACTATAAAGCAGGCTTTGGTGATCTTAACGGCGAGTTCTGGTTGGGCCTTGATAAAATACATCGTTTGTGGAAATCTGGCCAAAACGTTCTAAGAGTTGATTTGATGGATTTCATTGGCGCTAAACGTTACGCTAAATATGGAACATTTAGTGTGGCTGATGAATCAGACAAATACAGATTGAATATTGGCAATTATTCAGGTAAAACACACGCCAGAAAAAAATTGTAAACCTTATTTGTATTTATATTAAGACGAGTCAGTCAGACGAGTTCGATGCTTGATATCAAACGGTGAATATCGGTGAATAGTCACCAAGAGGAAGTGGAGGTGAATATTCCCTGATAATCACTGAGCCTAAGGTGAATAATTGTTTTAGTATTTTTGCACAAGTGAATTGACACAAGAACTGCATTTTTCTGCTTATCTCTTTGCAAGAAACGTCCCCAAAATGGCTAGCTGTCATTTTGAAATTTGTTATAATTCACCTGGGCCAGTTGTTCAAAAGCCGGTTAGCTTAATTTAGGGTTAATTCCGGCAAATTTTTTAATCAATTTTTTAATCTCTCGTTTATGAAGTTAAATATGTTTTTCCATAAATATTTTCTGGATCAATAAAAATCTTATTTTGTAAAGTCGGTTAAAAAGCCGGTTAGCTTAATTTAGGGTTAATTCCGGCAAATTTTTTAATCAATTTTTTAATCTCTCGTTTATGAAGTTAAATATGTTTTTCCATAAATATTTTCTGGATCAATAAAAATCTTATTTTGTAAAGTGTTGAAAAAAACAACAGTGCAGAAGCATATAAACCAAAACAGCGGAGGAAAATTTAACCCATGCAGGGTTAGCTCTAACCTAGCTTTGAACAACCGGTCCAATACGTGAAATTTGACAAATCAGCATATATTCATTCAGCCGTTGTCGTAAAGATTGTCATCTGCGTAAATACTGAATACGTAAATATCGTTCACATGATTTTACTGTATAAGTTAATTTCATGGGAAACCATAGTTCACGTGTACCGTATCATGGTATTTGAGTTATCCGGAGTAGCAAAACTAAAATAGCGAACAATTTTTCTTAAGGGTGCATGATAAAGAAGAAATCAAAACACGTTTTCAAGTCCAGTCCTCAGAGATTAAGAAACATTGTTCATGAAAACGGGCTTTTAAGTTTAATTTAACATGCAAACATTCAGCGAAATATTGACTGAAATTAAATCAATATAGCCGATCTAGTTAATTTTTTTTTATAAATGTAACAGTGATATCAGTAATATGGTACATCCTGAAAGAGTACATTAAATATAAAAAGGGAAAACTAAAAAACTGAAATTATTGCTTTTTGTTTATTCTCATAAAAGGTGACGCAGGTGATTCTCTGGCTTATCACAATCAAATGCAGTTCTCGACCAAGGATAGTGACAATGATGTTGTTAGTGGTAATTGTGCTATCACGTACAAAGGAGGTTGGTGGTACAAGACCTGTCATAAGTCCAACCTCAATGGCCTGTACCTGAGTGCAGGTCAGAAAGATAACCGTGGGATAAAATGGAACAAGTGGCATCATTATTCAATGAAAATGACGGAGATGAAAATTCGTCCAAGTCAGTTTTAATGTATTCCTGCACCACCATTACGAACAAACATTACCTTGTTTTCGATGTTTCAAATACGTTATCAAACTATAATGATGTAGAAATAGTAATATAATAATATAATAATATATAATATTATTGTATGTTTGCATGGTAACATCAATACGTAATTTAGCTTGTAGATACACCACGTAAATATTTATTACAGCAAAGCTTTCGGTCCGTTAACCCGGGCCTTCATCAATGCAATTACCTAAAATAATTAATGTGTATTCAGGTAATTGCACTGATGAAGGCCCGGGTTAACGGACCGAAAGCTTTCCAATATTAAATACTTACGTGGTGTACCTACAAACTATATTACTTAATAATATATTGTTCATTTTTAAAACAAAGTTACTACCTCAAGAGGTCAAGAAGAGAAAAAACAATGCAATTGCAATCGTAGTAGAAGGATTTTTTTGTAGCTAAAAAAATCCAACTCACGAATATATTTCCTGCATGAATGCCAGCTTATGCGCTGTTTAAAAATTTGATTTATATTCATCTATACAAAATGATGTGAAGAAAATTCTTGATTTATACATAATGATGTTCTTCCCAAAAATAACGTTTCACGCCGATAGAAACAAGTGTATTGATAATCCAAAGAGTAAAAGACTAAAAAATCAAAATGATAAACATTACATGCATGAATAATGTATGAAACCCCTCAAGAATTTACCCTCTTTTCACCTGCTTTCATAACACCTCTGGGATAACACATAATTACGAGTGTTTTAAAAGCAAAGTTGGTGATATGCGACCATGTTTAAGATAAAAACATTATTCATTCTTGCTGTTGATTAAATTGGCATGTATCACTTCACAGCTAGAACTGTTCTCCCACGGTTTACAATAGGGACCTATAAGCATGTAGGACGGCAACATGACGACGACGTGGTTGGAATACTCCTTTAAATTAATGTTATGATAAAGCGTTGTTGTATATTATTAACAGTACCAGTTTAATGAGATAAAAGACGTTGAAAACATTGTGTTTATGTTTAGGGACAATTCTATAGAGCTAATTCGAGATAGCGCTCACTGGGTCCTGAAATGCAGACGTTCTACATAGGACGTAATAAACGACGTTCTGCCGTTGTAAACAGAACGTAGACCACGTCTAAAACTCCCATAGGTATTTAATAATTCATTTCTTTTCAATGAAGCATTGTATTGATAGCTGCCGTCGTCGTGTTCCCGTCCTACATGCTTAAGGTCCCTAATATCATTAGAGACGACTACGTATACAGGGTGTCCCAAAAAATGTCCCCTCTATTGAAATCAAGCCTTTGTTCGAATCTGATTGCCTTAATATTATGATAAACCCAATTGAAAGCAAGACGCTTTATTTGAATGCCTCAACCTAATAACTATGCTATTTACACACTACTGCGTTGATCATGCATTCAAATTCCAACAAAAGCTTCATTTCAATAGCGGGGACTATTTTTCGGGACACCCTGTATGCCTATCTGCCCGTATGTATGTGTTTCAAAGAATGTTTTGCCATGGCATAAATAAGACGTGATCCTATTATTTGAAAGAAATTTACACCTCGACATTTCCCAACCATATTATTTTGCTACTTTTAGGCGCTCCGATTTTACGCTCTGATTAAGTTATATCAAATCATACAGTCAACTGAGGGCCCGAGATTGTCCCGATAGAGAGTTACGAACTCTCCGAAAAAGAACCGAAATGTGTTGGATTGAACTATAGAGTCACGATCAATGTTGTGAACTGCCAACTGACCAACATCACTGCATGGGAAGAGAAATCACGTTGCGATAACGAAAGAAGGAGAATGGATACTAATGGTCGACGATAAAGCGGTAACTATGTCATATGTAATTACTGATGAAAAAAGATTCTAATATCACTTCTGCCATTTGCAATATCGCGAGCTGTCTAATCTGCCATAACTCAATAAAATATACAAATAAATATAAGTAATATATATATATATATATATATATATATATATATATATATATATATATATATATATATATATATATATAGGTAAGTAAATGAACCCTTATTTAACGAGAGCAGAAACCTCCTAACCCTCCACACTCTATGTGTATGTAGCATTAATCTAATCCAACAATCGGTCCACAATCTAAAAGACATGCATGTGTTTTGATTGTCTATAGTCGGAATAAATTACTATACGCTAAATAGTGAATATTGCATAATCCTCAATTAAAGCTTTGAATATTTAAACAAAACTATCTTCACTTTGAAGAAAAAATATATACCAAAAATTATAGTACATTTCAAGTAAAATTTGATTAATGATATTTTGATAAATTTGATAAATGTAGAAAATAATTTTTGATGTACAGCGACATACGAAGATTACAGCATGAATGCCAAGTAAAACTATAGTTAGATATTTGTCGTTACTGTTATATATACCAATAATACCCAGTTATATTAAATAGTAAACAAAACACAAAAATAATTACGTTACAAAGGAAGCAGATACGCAGGCCGTGAATCATAGGAATGCCGGTCTGAAAATGCCGGACGGGAATAACATTTAATTTTTTTACACATTGATGAAAAGAAAGTCGATTGTAAATCAAAATGCCGACGATTACATGATTCATTGCTGCCGCAACGAGCGAGCCTGGGGCGAGCGAGCAAGGCAACAGACCTAATTGATGTATAGTTGGGAATTTTTTAAATTTTGCCTTAGCGCATTGCATTGTGGTCGAATATTAGATAGACCCACAATGCTATGTGAATCATCTTTATATAATTATATTGTTTCTTTCCATGCATGTGCTTCAATGTGCTTCCTTTTCCATTTGGCATTCTGGTGAACAGTTAAAGAATTTTGTGATTTCCGGTTTCTTAGCTTTTTTACCCTCATCTCATCACTGATTATTACATTCGCAGATCATTAATCGAGACTGCAGTTAAGCAAACATGATCATGTGCCGTTGATCGCAAATATATCTCTGAATAACAACGTGCTGATGCCTTTCGCAGAGCCAGCAGAGGCTAGGCGATATAAAGAACAATTACTTGATGATGTAATTTTTGTTTTAACAGAGTTTTAGATATCATTATGTTCTACTCTCTTCAAGTTGGTGTTAAGCACGGTAAGTTCCTGTCAGTAAAAGATAATTTTTTGTAAAATTTTATAGATATTTTACCACTTCCGATTTCACACGCTGTATTTGCTGCGCTTTTGGTGGTTTGGCTTTAACAAAGAACATTCAAACAAAAAAGCGTTGTATATTTGAAAGACAATTAGCTTATATTTATTGCCATTTATGCACATTGCCATTTATAATTATTCGCTATTAAATTTACATATTTGTGCGTGTTCTTTGCCTCGGAACTTTGAATTTCATAACACCTGTTGGCTTCTTTATTATGCAAAGCATTAAATATTTCAAAGACAAGGCACTCAGTCAGTAAATTTTTCGATATTTATTGTTATTGGTGAATGGTAATTGACATTTTCTATTCGGTCTTTGTGTGTGTGTGTGCCGTTCTTTGTCCTTCGCATACATACAGTGTATGTATCGCATGTATACAGTGACATTTGATACAGCATTAATATACAGCTTCGATTTGACTTGCCGAATTTAGGATAACACGTGTTGGCTTTATGCATAGCGTTATATATTTGAAAAACAGAGCACGCAATCAACTTATGTTTATTAATGTTCATTATTATTGATGAATGATATTTTCTATTTATAATTTATATATTTGCGTGTGTGTTGATCTTTGCCCCTTGGACTTGAACTCTTAGACTTTGAACCACTATATAGCATTGATATTGATTCACCTCCTATTTCACTTGCCAAATTTAGACTTTGGACTTTTACATATAGCTTCAAATACACTTCTTTTATTTAAAATATTTCAGCATATTTCATATTCCTGTGTATTGATATATTTGCTGCTGGTTTGTTTTAAAATTATTTGGTGTGTATTTTACATGCCTCGTTTATTGGTGTGTATTTTACCTTGCCTCTTGCTTTTTTCTGTGTTTTTGAAGTGTTCTATATATTTTGATATCGAATGTTGTAAATTGACTTCAAAACGTTTGTTTTATCTGGTCAGTTGCAGTTAAAATTTGAAATGTCTTATGACCAAGGACAACATAGTCAATCTTTCCTTTTTACTCCTCTTCATGCCAAATCGCAAAGATTTTTATGTTCATTGGTTGATTTGCCATTAGTAAAGGAGCATAAATGCAATCATTCACCACCAAAAGCGCAGTAAATACAGCGAGTGAATCGGAAGTGGCAAAATATCTATATATCTATAAAATTTTACAAGAAATTATCTTTTACTGACAGCAACTTACCGTGCTTAACACCAACTTGAAGAAAGTAGAACAGTTTAACTCTGTTCAAACAAAAATTGCATCATCAAGTAATTGTTCTTAATATCGCCTAGCATCTGCTGGCTCTGCGAAAGGCATGAGCACGTTGTTATTCAGAGATATATTTGCGATCAACGGCACATGATCATGTTTGCTTACATGCAGTCTGAATTAATGATCTGCGAAACAAAGGATTTTGCTAATTTGCATTAGAGTTCGGCAAATGGAAAGTTCGTTGTCTGTAACGGGCCTAATTGATGTTGTACATTTACAACTCCTGGCGAAACGTTAGACAATCTCAAACAATTAGCCAAGTTTTCAAGTCCAATGTGAAGAGTTCACAACTACTTAATCTTTTTAAATAACTAGATTTCAGTAACACAACAAACTACTATTATGATCACGTGCATTCAAAATAAAACAGCTGGCGAACTTGCACATGCAATGCTTCATCTTTGTTCATTTAATCTATTCAGCAAAAACTTAGGCCCAAACAAAGAGAACAATTTGCATAAAATTCCTCATAAACGGTGAATAGTGAATACTTCATTCTCCAAGACTGTTGTCCAACCCGATTTAGCGATTACCCGATTAAGTACTTCTTTCTACAATTCAATCCTGCATGACTATGCTTGCGCAAG